CCACTAATTTATTCAAGTGCACGGCGCAGTTCACAGTCACAGGCACACACGGTGCCAGCCCTCTGCCCCAAGGCCCTCGCCCTGCACAGGGCACCCCAGTGTGGCGGTGCGCAGTGTGCAGCGGGCAACAGAACCTCAGTGGGAGGGAGAGGATGGAACAGGGACCGGAAGGTTTGCACACAGACCAGGTGACTGCTGGTGAGGGGACGAAAGTGGGCAGCTGCAGCCAGGAATTCACCTCAACAGCAGGGCGGCGGCCAGGCGGTGAGAAGCTGGGGCCAGAGGGGCGCCCTGCAGTGCATGTGAGCGTGCACGGGTCTGCACACCTACGGGAGCATCGGTGTGTGCAGCCCGGATTCACATCCCGAGACAGAGGACACGCCCGTCTTTTGAAGGTTTTACAGCCTTTCCCACTGGAATAAAACTTACACTTTTTAGCAGAAGGAAGTCACTCTGACCAGTGTGCAGAGCACCTTCTCCTCCGCACCTGCCCTCCCTTGGGGGCAGCTCTTGGACTTCCACGGAGAGAGGGAGCCACAGCTGTGTCCCCAGACTGGGACCCTCGACCCTGCTTCTGCCCAGGAGAGTGTGACTGAGCCAGCGGGGCTGAGACAGCCGCATGCGGGGAAACCCGTGGCCACTGTAGATGAACAGGATTTGAATCACAGGCCTTGCCTCAGGCCCGCTTGAACGGTGTCCCGACACCCCAAGAGAGACGAGAGCACCCTCAGCTGGACTCTGGCCTCCCTGTCCAGCCCCCAGGAGTCCCACACCAAGGCCAGGGCCAAGCAGGTGGGCACTGCCGCCCAGGCCTGACATCCAGGAGGACCCAGGGCCTAGGAGGGCAGTGGGAAGGGCGGACATTTGCCAGCTGGGGCCAGTCCCTGCCCCCAGAGCTGCCACAATAAGGTTCCGGAGACCCTTGAGACCTCTGGGTAGCAGAGTGGGCACAGGCATCTGCCCAGAGAGCTCAGCGCCAGACACCCTTGAGCCAGATGCCAGCTGCCAGCTGCCCCAGGGGAAGGGTTAGGTCAGTGTGTGCGGGCTGCAGTTGCTATGCAGCTAGACAGGGCAGTTCCAGCTCTGAGATGGGATTCTTCCAGAGTTGTGGGCAGAGGTGAGGTTGCCTGGGGAAGGGCAAAGGAGCCAGCGTCAGGGACAGGATGGGCTGGGCAGAGCCCCGGGCCAGCTCCTCTGTGTGACACACTCACCTGTTTGGCACTCGCAGCTGAGTGACCCTGAGCTGCCCAAAGAGCCTGCAGGCACCAGGCCGGAAATGCCTGTGGTTGGCTGGGCAGCTGTGCACTGGTTAGAGGCACAGTCACACAAACTGGCCAGGTGCAGGGAAGAAAACCCTGCAGGATGTCTGATTGCAGTTGGATTTCAGATAAACAATTTTTCTAATAGTATGGCCCAAATAGCACATGGACACGGAAAGAACCATTATTTGACTAAAATCCAAACATTGCTGGACGTCCTATACCCCAGCTGCAGTGAGATTGCAGGTGAGCCCTGCAGGCACAGGGCAGCCCACACAGGGAAGGAGAGGGATCGTGGCCAGGTGCACCCACTCAGCAGCATCTGACCCTTGGACCCAACTGGCCGGGACTGGACGCGGACCTGTGCAGAGCCTGAACCCACAGCAGGTCAGATGGGCCCGGAGCAGTCAAGAGTGGGGTCTTTTCAATAGTCCAAAAATCAAAGAAAAGGTAAAACAATTGGAAGACCTGGCTCAAAGGGTACATAATGAAGATGGCTGGGACTTGTTCCAATGGCTAACTAAATGGTTGCCCAACCTACAATGGTTAAAACAACTTTTTCTTGTCGTTATAGTTGTGTGTATATGCTTACTATTGTCATGCTGTTGTATACAATGGATGCCTACGTTTATACATAAGATTACTTAAGTTGTAAAATCAGTGGGGAATGTGGGACTGCATAACTCTGTAATCATAAAACTCCCCTAGCCCCAACTGTGATTGAATGTGAGCAAATAGATAAAGATGCTTGTTAGTTTCGGGACACTAGATAAGATCTGTATCAGCCATAAGGTCCCAAAGTAAATTACTCAACTCTTTGTTCGAAACTGATGTTCTGAACACTGCTATCTACAGAACAATCTACCAACCTCTGCTGACCATCAGTACGTGTCAGCTGACCACTAACCTTTGTTCCTCTTCTGTAAATTTCACCTGTTAACTTCCCCTGCAACCCCCTATAAAAGAGCCTCGGACTCTGGGCTAGTCGCCTCTCTAAGCTACTTTGCTTTGGGAGTGCCGTCTGGCCAGACTAAGGTCTGTTTTACTTTCAAAAAAAAAAAAAAGAGTGGGGTCTTTCTTGCTCCAGAATGTCCTGGAGCAAAGTGTACAGGTGTCACCTCACCAGTGTGCGACAGTAGACACCCACCAGGAAGGGGAGGAAAGGGACACAGCACAGGCTCAGCGTGGCGGCCAGGCCCGGGGGAGTTTCACATCACAGTCCAGGGGGTATAGACCCTCCCGTGGCATTTCAGAGCCTTCTGTGGCCTCTGCAGCATCCACTGCTCTAGCAGGGTCCTGCTGGGGAGCTGTCCCAGCCCGCATGCTTGCTGTCCAGGAAAGTGCCCATGCACCACCACACTGCTATGAAAGCATCTGGAACTCTCCACAAACCATCTTCTTGGGGAACATTAGCCATGTATTCAGAACAGGTGTTTGTGCCCAACAGCTGCTCAGGGATGGCAAATCCTCCCTTCACAGGCACAAACTGTACAGGAGGCGGGTGGCTCCCAGAGTTGCCTGGAGAGAGGAATCCTCTGAGTTTTGGCTGCTGAGAGCACTATTCCTCACACAGGCAGGGGAAGAGCTGTGGCTTGGAGACAGTCTGAGGACACGGTGTCCACCGCACTCAGTGCTGACTGAGGACACAGGTACACACCAGACACCACACACGTGCCTAAGGGTGTGGCATCCTCCACACAGGGTGTGACTGTCTGAGGACGTGGGTATCTACCACTCTCGGTGCTGATTTAGGACATGAGTATACCTCACACACCACACATGTACCTAAGGCTGTGGGTGTCCCCCACACAAGGGATGACTGTTGAGGGCACAGGCGTCCGCCACACTTGGTGCTGTGTGAGACATAGGTATACACCACACACCACACATCACACACATGCCTAAGGACATGACACCCTCCACACAGGGCATGACTGAGGACACAGGCGTCCACCACACTTGGTGCTGACTTAGGACATGGGTGCACACCACCACTGCACACATGCCCAAGGACATGGCACCCTCTGCACGTGGTGTGACCAACTGAGGACATAGGTGCCCACCACACCCGGCATAAATTATCTGAGGACACTGGGATCCACCACAGTCAGTGGGGATTCTAGGGACACAGGCGTCCACCACACTAGGTGCTGACTGAGGACATGAGCATCCACCACACACTGTGTGACTGTCTAAGGACATGCATATCTGCCATGCCTGGTGCTGTCTAAAGACAGACGATCACCACAATAGCACTGACTGCGAGGACACAGGTGTCCACCATTCTTGGTGCTGTCTGACTGAAGATGTGGGCATCCATTACACTCACTGTTGCCTGACAGAGGACACAGGTATCTACCACATTCAGCTCTGATTGTCTACAGATGCAGACAACCACCTCACTCACCACTACCTGAAGACAGGCATGAACTACACACAGTGCTGACTACCTGAAGGCACAGGTGTCCACCACTCTTGGTGATAACTGTCTGAGGATACAGGCACCCACCTCACTTGTGTTATCACTCTAAAGACAAGACCACCCACCACACTCAGTGGTGACGGAGGACACAGGTGTCCACCACACTCGGTTATGACTGAGGACAGAGGTGTCTACCCCACTTGATAGAGTTCAGAGACACAAGAATCCACTACATTTGGTACTGACCAAAGGGATGTCCTCCTATTAATCTGGTTAAGCTGGATTATGTCCACTTGACTGGCTTGGGAGCCACCCAGGGGATGGGTAGAGTGCTCTTCTGGGTGTGTCTGGGTGGGTCATGGAGGTGTGGCCTTGGCACTATATATAGTCCCAGGTGCCTTCCTCTCTGGCATTGTTCTCCTCTGCTTCCTGGTCACCATGAACTAAGCAGCTTTGCTCCACCAAGCCCTTCTGCCATGCTGTTCCTGCCTTGGAGCCAATTGACCATGGACTGAATCCTCTGAAATCCTGAGCCAATTAAACCTCCCTCCTTTAAGTTGTGGGTGACAGGTGCTGTGTCCCACCAGCAGGAAAGCTGATTAACATGGCACCACACATGGTGTGAGTATTTGAGGACACAGACATTCACTACACTTGGTGCTGCCCGAGGACACAGGCAGCCCATCCACCACATGTGGCACTAGCTGTCTGAGGCAGCCTGCTGTACCATTTCCTGAGGGGGTCCTGATCCCTGCAGGACTCAGCCTCCCTGAACGGGAATGTGCAAAAGGCAAGGGATGACTAGTGCAGGTGCTGAGGAAACAGGCCAAGTGGGGGTGTCCAGGTGGGTGCCAGGGTCCCACTGGTCCAGGAGCAGAGCAGGCCAGAACTCACCAGGCCCTGAGCTGACACAGATGCCACGTGGCCCACGAGGGGCCTAGCCTGGGACATCAGGAGTCGAGGTCCTAGGGTCTGAGCAGAGCCTGGGTTTCTGACTGCACCGTTGCCTGCACTGTCCATAGCCAGGCTGCACATCCACAAGAGTCTCCAAGCATTGGTGCAGTCTTGGCTTGTTCCATTGGGAACATGTTTGTCTCTTGAGTAAAGTGGGGCCACATGGGGCCTCCCACTCCAGGCCCACAGCATGCTGCTCTGCACCCACATGGCAGCCCTTGCTCCCGCTGCAGGAGACTCAGCTCAGGACCCAGGTTTCCGTGGGGTGGACCGCAGGCCGACATCACAGCCCTGCGCTCCTCTGACAAGCTCGGTGGAACTCCCTTTCCTCACTAGCCGGGCTCCCTACTTCTCAGGAAGCCAGGCTAGGAGACCAGACACATCCTCGACTTGGACCCAGGGGCTGCCTGCTCCGCAGAGACCCCCTTCATGTCATCGGGCATCTCCCCATCAGGGTGCCACACATTCAGCTCCCCAAAGACGCCTGTCTCAATGATCTCCTCCTGCCAGGGAATGGGGCAGGTGCCAGAGGCAAATTCCCGGAAGAATTCCACGTCTGCTTTGTCAAAGACCACACCTCTGACAGTGGAAAAGGCCCCCACATCCTGGATATTCTTGGCGTAGACAGTCCTGGGGTCCGGGATGAAGGGAGGAATGAGCATCCCTGCGAGGCAACAAGAGACAGACTGAACGCACACGTCAGCCAGGCCGAGGCCCCAGCTCCATGGAAAGCAGAGAGCGCCCGGTAGCCAGCAGTGGAGCCCAGCGCCCCACACAGCCCCCAGCCCAGGCGCCTGAGTGTTCAGTGGATAGAGCTGGGGACCCCAAACCACAGCCAAGAAGCTCTTCCTGACCAACTTCAGCCTCCCCAGATCCCACCCCAGGCCTCCTCCCAGCATGGAGCTCCGGGCTAGCCCTCCTGTGGGACCACAGCTCTCCATGTGGCCCCATGGACACCGTACCACAGCAGGGCCCCCAGGGACAGGACTCCTCCCAGTCAGCTTCCCTTGCTGACGTGCCCAGGGCCACCAGACGCAGTACATCCTCCGCAGCTCCAGGCCCGCCCTGTCCTGCACCTCCTCCCACACACTAGCTTGCCTGGGAGTGCCTGTAGGTGCGAGGCTGCCTGACCTGCACAATCCCAGCCAGCAGCACGTGGTCCTTCCTGGTCTTCCCATGGCCATGGGCTTTCTTGAGACTCTGGGCTTTCCTGTGGCCCTGGCCTTTCCCATGGTCCTGGCTTTTCTTGTGGCCTTGGTGTTCCCGTGGCCCTGGCTTTTTCAGTGGCCCTCGCTTTTCCCATGTCCCTGGCCTTTCCCATGGCCCTGGCCTTTCCCATGGCCCTGGCTTTTCCATGGCTCTGCCTTTTCCTGTGGCTCTTGCTCTTCTCAAGGCCCTGGGTTTCTCCAAGGGCTCCCTCCACATGGTTCCACTGTGACAATACGACTCAAACCCTCACGGCTCAGCCTCCATCTGAAGTCAGGCTCACAGCTCTTGGTCCTTGAAGCATAGTTCCTGGGCTCCTGACCCAACTCCTTCCTCAGTTTGGGCCCAGTCCTGACAGCTCTCACAGGCAGAGTCTGCAGCCAGACCAGCTGCCCAGGGCGACTTCTCTGTGTGCCTCACACTGGTCCCCATGGCCCTCAGCTCCAGGCTGCAAGGCAGCTGATTTCAGCTGTCAGTGATGCCAACTCTCCCCACAGCAAGTTCCTGGAGGGGCGTGGGGTCTCCCACTCCCCTCTCAGACACACGGGCACAGGACACACAGACACACGGGCATACACGCACATGGGTACACAGACACGTGGGCACACACAAGGACACAGGGGCACATAGACACAGAAGCAAGCACATGCATGCCTGGACACAGAGACATGTCGTGTGCACAGAGGCACACATAGGCAAGCACACATGTGGGTGGACACACCCAGACACATGCACACTCACAGGCGGGGCAGAGCCTGTGCCACACCTCCAGGTAAGTGATATCACCTGCCAGGCAGCCCAGCTGGATCGTGGCCCTCAGAGCACAGTGTGGGAGCCATGTGCAGCCGGCTGCAGCCCGGGGTGTCCCTCACCTCCCCTCCTAGCCCAGGTGCCCTGCAGATGAACAGAGGCTGGGGCTGTCCTGAGGCGAGGCAGCTGGGGTCCCACGACACCCATCCCCCGAGACAGTACCGGCCTCCAGCTGCCTCCAGCTGATGGCCCCGAAGAGCGCGTGCGCACGCAGCCCGTCGCAGCTCCCGTCCAGGAAGCCCAGGCGCCGTGCAGGGTCCTTCTCCAGCAGCGCCTCGCAGAAGTCCCTGCCGGCCTGGCTGAACTTGTCGGGGTACTTGACAGGCTCCGAGAGGATCCGCTGCTTCAGCTCCTTGTTCTCCACCTGCAGGCGGGCACGGGGAGCAGCCCCGTGGCTGGGCAGTCACTCCTGCTGGTGCAGGGGACCATGGCTGGGCCCAGGGCACCCCCGCAGGGCCAGAGCCAGAACAATAGCACCCAGCAGTAATGCCAGGAGCCAAAGTTGGGTATGGGGCATCTCAGGGAATTCTGGCTGGCTTCATGGCACATCGGGTAACTACCCCCAAAAGAGAAAAACTAACAAAAAATAAAGTGCTGCAGAGCGCAGCCGTGCCGGGGTCTCGCTTCCATCTCATGGGACAGGAGCCCTGGTACGGGGCACGTTTTATTTCTGGCCACTCCCTAGAGGTGGTGTCCACCCTACCGAGGCCCCTTCTGAGTGTGCAGGCAGGCGGTATGGCTGTCACTGTGGCCTCTGAATCCTTCTACCCCAACATGGCAGAGGAGGTGGAACAGCCATGTGCTGCACCCCTGGGCCCAGCTACCAGGCTTGGGGCTTGGCTTGGCCCAGGGGTCCAGGAAGGCCAGGGTGCAGCTGGCAAGGCAGTTGCCCCAGTTAGGCCAAGCTCCCACGTGGCCTCAGGGCACAGGCATGGACAAGACAGGGCTGCCGAGAGCACCACATGCTAGGGGCGCAATTCCTCCCAAGGCTCTGTGCCGGCTGAGCTCAGGAGCAGAGGACACCCAGTCCGGGGCACCTGCTGACTTCCACTTGCTCTGGGGCCAAGGGACAGCGTGAAGTCCCACAGCAATGCCACAGGTCTCAGGACCTGACAGGCCCAAACACGCCTCCAGGGGCTCCCAGCGGCCAGGGGCCTGCACCCCACGCCTGGCCTGGCCCAGGGACAGAGGCTCAGGGCCACAGCAGACACTGTCAAGGCACCTACCTTCTCCCCCCGGGCACGGAAGGGGCCTCTGGCCGCGACCATCTCGTACAGCGTGACTCCCAGGGCAAAGTAGTCCACGGAGAAGTCATACTCTTCCCCCCTCAGGAGCTCGGGGGCCATGAAGCCTGCCAGACACAAGCGCCCCCCAGGCACAGAGCTGACTCAAGTGGCTCCAGCTCTCAGAGTCCCAGCCTGTCGGTACCTGGGGACAGAAAGCCTCGTGTGGCCATTCAGGCCGTCGAGCAGCACCCAGCCTCCGGTACTAGATGCCAGCAGCATCCCCACAGACAACACCAGCACACCTGTGAATCTGCGACGCCAAATTGCCTCCCACCATGCCCCACGTCCAGGGGTGGGGAAGTCGCCCTGGCTGGGAGTCCCTTTGCTACACATGTGGTATGATGTCTCCTTTCCCCTCTGTGGCACCTCGAACTCAGGGATGGTGAAGAACACCTGGACCACACGAGAGCACAAGTGACTCTCAGAGGCAGGCAGCCCTGCTGTGACTTTCCAACCTTCATCTCCAGCAAGGCCAGGAAAGCTCGGCTCCAAGCCCAGGCAGTCCCCAGTGTGGGCACGACATCTCGGGGTCCTACCCTTCCTCTGGGATCCCGGCCCTGCAGGGCGCCCTGCGGTCAGCTGTGCACCCGGATGGTGCACATCTCACTTAACCCACACTCACAGAGATACGCGTAACTCCTCACAGAGTTAGAGGCTGACAGAGGTCAGCCACACCAGCCCCTTGGCCAGGCAAACCCGTCCCCAGCCCACCAACTGTCTCCTGTAACTCTGTCCTTGGCTCAAAGTGACTCACACACGGCGGACCAGACAGGGCCCAGCCGGTCTCTGCTGCAGGGGTGGCCCTGTCTCTCCCTGTCTTCGCTCCCACGCCCGGGCGCCCTCACCAACATCCAGAGTCCCAGACAGCTCACACTGGGTGCTGGGGCTCCCTCTGCTGGCCGAGCAGTGACATCCAGGCCAGGATGCAGAGGTGGGCATGAGGCTGGCTCGTGTCCCCTGGTCACCATGGTGCCCCTGCCATCCTCAGGGTGCAGGGCCTCAGCTGGCACAGGAGGCACAGCCTTAACCTGTGGGGGTCAGCCCAGTCCACTCAAGGCTGCCGGCCGCCAAGGTCCAGAGCATCTGAGGCAGCACTGGGCGGTGCGGGCAGGTGTGGGAGGCCCCATGCGCTGTCTCTGCCCTGCTGAGCTTGGGATCTGACAGCTTCAGGCCTCCTGGTGCTGCAGCCCTAGCCACTGCATGGGGAGCTTTTTCCCCAGAGAGCCGCAGGGGTCAGACCCCGAGGCCAACGGGACCTTCCTGAGTTCCGCTGTTGTCGAGACTGTTGCTGAGGCTGGGAAGGGACAGCTCATGGGCTCCAGGTCAAAGCAGAGGCCAAGGGACTGCAGAGTCCAGTCTGGTGCAGGGACCATCATGTTGCAGGTGTGGAGCCCTCACTGTGCGGCCCGGAAGACATGTTCCCTGCAGGCCTGGAGCCCACATGGGGCTGCACACCAGAGGCACAAGGGACACTGCCCCTAGCCTGTTCCCACAGCCTGTGGGCTGGGCACTGAGTACAGAGGAGTGGCAGCCACAAAGCAGTGGCCCGGGAGCCTCCTCTGCAGACAGGGCCCCAGCTGGGAGACCCATCAGAAGGGGCTCTGTGCCTGCAGGACACCTCAGCCTCAGCATCTCTGGGGACCTGGCCTGGACACAGTGAAGCTGGTCCCTGAGGCACAGCTGGCAGCCATCTGAGAAGGGCCAGAGTCCCCATCCCTGGGGCTGGGCACACAGCAGTAGCAACATCCCTCCCCTGGTGGCCACCAGGTTCAGCACAGGAACCCCAGTCCCGGCTAGACGAGGACAGCAGAGATCCCAGGATGTCCTCCCCTGCCCCTGGGGCTGCGGGATACACCGAGTCCACTGCTTCCAGAACTTCTTGGAACTCCAGAGGGTCAGTGGGAACTGTCCTCCTCCAGACCAAGGGGATGTCCCTTCCCCTGAGTCAGGCCATGCAGCCACCCCTTCCACCACACAGCAGGTCCAAGTCCCCTTGCTGCCCAAGCCTGGCCTCGGGGGCAAAGTCTCCCTGCAGAACCACACGGCACCAGGCACAGCGGCCACGTCAGATCTCTCAGCATGCCCACAAGCACATTTAGAACAGATGCTCAGAGAAGCCAAGTGGGTCGCCCAAAGCCACACAGCCACTGATGGCAAGTGAGAACATGACTGCACACCCCTCGACCCTGATCCTCTGCCCTTGCGCTGCCTGCTGAGGGAGGTGAGACAAGATGGGTGAGACGGAGCACAGGACACGCCAGGCATGTGCAGCCACGCACAGGCTCGGACGCATGCAGGCACGTGTGCAGACACAAAGACGTGCACACCTGTGCACCTCATACACACATGTGCACACAAGCAGAGGAGAAGTGTGTGTGCCCAGAGAGATGGCAGCTCGTGCAAGCACACGCGTGTGCCCTTGCACAGTCAGAGGTGCGGGCTCATGTGCACACTGCGTGGTGGCTGCACAGGTCTTACCCAAGCTGCTCTTACCCCACGAGCCTGGACCTCCCACTCTGCCCGCGCCCGGGGTACCCGGGCCCTGTCCGCTGCTGCCCCACAGGCTCGGGGCTGTTGTGACACAGAGCCCCGGACTCGCCAGGCAGGGAGGGTGGCCGCAGGGCACAGCCCTGCCACTGCGGGACAGGAGGCGGCACTGTGGCTTCTTGCTGGGTCCCCGCCTCACCTGGGGTCCCCGCATAGCCCTTGGTCTTGCTCTGCCCTTCCCGCAGCTCCACGGCCAGCCCGAGGTCGGAGATCCGCACATTGCCTGAGCCAACACCGGGAGGTCAGAACTAAGGCGCCCGCTGCACACAGGCGTATGCACCACACACACCCACTCACTCACACACGCAGCCCTGACACACACGCGACACACACACACGCTGTGCGCACACTCCGCACCCCCCGTGTCCACACCGTGCCCGGGCAGCAGAGGCGGCCTCTGTGAGCCGGGGTGGGCTCAGTCAGGGCCGGGGCCGCGGCAGGCTCAGCCAGGCCAGCCTCACCACCATCGTCCAGCAGCACGTTCTCGGGCTTGAGGTCGCGGTAGACGATGCGCTTCCGGTGCAGGTGCTCCAGGCCGCTGATGATCTGGGCCGTGTAGAAGACGGCTCGAGGCTCTGGGAAGCCAGGGTTCTCTTCGTCCACGTTGTAGATGTGGTACCTGGGGAGCAAGGGCTCCTGTTACCCGAAGCCCAGGGCGGCGGCTCCCTGACGGCGTCGCTGAGAGGACACCAGGCTGGCCGCTACCCTCTTCCCTGGCCCCAGGCTATGTCCTGGCCGCCTGCGGGGCTCGAGCGGGGCTGGAAAGGGTCTGGACCTCAGTTCCTCCTCTGGAAACAGGCAGGCTTCCTTGGAGGGCACGGAGGGGTGGAACCTGAGGACAGAACCTCCGGCAGAGCCACTGTGCTCCAGACTTGAAAGCCAGGGCGGGGCGGGCAGGGTTGTCCTCGACAGCCTCGGGACGGGACGCTAGCTTTTCGTTTTGTTTTTCAATTCATCTACTGTATTTTTTAACTGTTATTCTTAATAGCACCTGCTTGCAGCACAACATGACTACATTCATGGTTGGGAGTTGCTGCATCTCAGTGCTTCTTACTTCCTATTTTTGATTCCCATTTTACAGATGAGGAAATTGAGGCCTAGAGCCTTAGGTTGCTGCTATGGCTTGTGTTTAGATGTCCCGTCAAAGCCTCATGCGAATGAGCTGGGGCTATTCTGGAGGTGGCTGAATCCGGAGTGTGTGATTCATGGCGGGGATAGGCCCGAGGGCACCAGGATTAAGAGTGTGAGTGCTGCCCGCTCTAAGTCTGTTGTGTTCACTCCAAGTCTAAACAGATAAAAAGGCGGAAAACACTGTCAAGGCCCTTGCTGCTCTTGCTGACTCCGCCATCATGAACTGCTGCCCCTCTGCTGCCCTGCCTTGGAGCCAGCCGACTGCGGACTGAAACCTCTACGGACGGTCAGCCAAACCAACCTCCCCTTTAACTTAGGGGGTGGGTATCCGGTCTCAGCAGCGAGAAGCGTGTCTAGACGCTGCCTAGCTGGCCGGCAGTCCTCCCTCCGAGAGCTCGTGGTGGGCTGGCCTAGGGCTGGGCGATCTTGGCTGGGGCTGAGGCAGCGCAGCCTCCCCTGCCACTCTGCGTCCCCTCGAAGGCCGGCGCTGGTGACGAGCTCCCCTCCGATGTGCGGCTGAGGACACACCCCCAGCTGCCCTGGGGCCCAACCCCACCTACCTGATGTCGCCCCCATTCATGATGGTCATGACCAGGCAGAGGTCCGACTTGGTCTGGAATGCATAGGCCAGGGAGACGACGAACCTGCTGTGCACCTGAGCCAGGATCTTCTTCTCCACCATGGCTCCCTGCGGGAGGGGCAGGCGGGTGAGCCAGCCTCACGACACCCGGAGGCACGCAGCTCCCCAGAGAGGCGGGCGTGGAGTTGCTTAGGATGGGGAGCTGCGTCTGCCGGCACCCCCAGGGAGCCCCTGGCTGGCAGCCCCAACGCAGCTCTGCCCACGGTCTCCCCAAGCCTCTCAGCGTGGAGCCACCAGTGCATGGGGCACGTCCCATGAAGCTGCTCGTCAATAACTGTCATCACCCTGGTGTGGTGGCACACATCTGTGCTCCCAGCACTCAGGAGATCGAGGCCAACCTGGGCCAAAGAGCAAGACCTTGTCTCAGAAAAGAAAAGCCAATTTAAACAATTGCCATTAAAACATCATGGGGTGCAGTCACTTCACTCTCTAGGCCTTCGGTGAGGACCCTCCCGGGCCCCGTTCCACAGTCACAGGGAGCACTTGGCATTTGACCTTTTGCGGGGGTCAGGAGCACACGTGGGGCAGCTGCCTCCCCAGAGCTTCGCCTGCCCTTGGTGCTGCCTGCTGGGCGGCGGGCTTCTGAGCCCCTCAGGCCCTAAGCGGCTTTCGTGGGCTCTGACCTCACCGGACACTTGGCCCCAGGCAGGGCGGGACAGATGGGGGCAGCCTGCAGCGTGTTGTCCTCGCCCCAAGCCCTGGGAGAGTGTGCAGGAGGAACGGCCCTGCAGCCCGGAATCTCGGGGGACCACCTCCTGCCTCTGCGCCTCTTGCGCCCTTGGGCAGTGTGGCCTGGCCCCAGAGCCGGGACTCTTCCCCAGCTGCTCCCGTGCGAGGTCACCGAAGGCCAAGGAGTGGGGTCCAAATGGCAGGGTCCGCAAGCCGCAGCCAGGACCAAGTGGGCTCGCGCATGACCCGGCAGGTCCTCCACGCCTGGCACCGCAGCCCAGCACGTGCGCCCTGCCACCCACTCGCCTGGTACCCCTTCCTCTTCTTCAGGCGCTTCTTGTTGAGCTTCTTGCAGGCGTACATCTTGCCAGTGGCCTTCATCTGGCAGGCCGATACCTCCCCGAATCCTCCTTTGCCCAGCACACGGAAGTCCAGGAACCAATCCTCACCCATGGGCTGGGCCTCCAGCCACTTCCACTGCAGGAACCTCAGGAAGTGCAGGCTGCCCAGGAACTCCTGGAAGGGCGCCTGGCTCAAGTGCACCAGCGTGGCCTGCAGCAGTGGCTGGAAGAGCCCATCCTGGCTGCCGGCCAGGCCCTCCTTCACCCGCGCCACCGTGCGCTCATCCAGGAAGCCACAGAAGAGCTCAGCCTGGGGGTCCAGGTACTGGGCCAGCAGTCCCTGTGCCTTCTGCGGCCGCAGGTCGGCGGCGGCAGTGTTGTAGTCCTCGATGTCCCTCCAGAGCCCCAAGGCCGGCGCGTGCCTCCGGTCGGTCTCCAGGAACTGCCGGAAGAGCCGCTTTCCAATGGGCTGCTCTGAGCACACGCTGCCGAACCCCAGGCTGAGGCTGGCTCGGAGCCCCTCGCACGTGGACAAGGGGGGAAGTCGGAGCTTGGCCAGGTACTTCCTGTCCCGGGAGGACAGGGCGCTGCTCCCGTCGCAGCTGCCCCGGGCGGCAATGAAGGCAGAGTTGGCCACCACAGCCTCCAAGGCCCCAAGGTCCATCCTGCCACTGCGGAGGCCCGGCCACGGCGCTCACTGTCAGAGTGCTGGCCTGGCGCCCTTGGCCTGTGGCCTGCGCCTACCCTCCCAGGACGAGGGGGATGGCCCAGCCTCGGCCAGGATGCTGGGGACCCACTGGGAAGCCCCAGGAGCCCAGGGCTGTCACAGCCTCAGGCTACACCCCAGCCCGGGGTCATGCAGGATGCCTTAGAAGTGACCAGTGAGTGCCAGAAAAAGACAATCTCCTAAGCCGCTCCAAATCGGATTAGACGGAGCACCCAGCCATCCGTCCTGCAGAGGGGCCACCTCTGCTTCCTGCAGGAAGGACAAGGCCTCTGCAGCTCCTGTGGGAGGAGAGGGAGGTCCCAGAGAAACCTTCCTTCGTAAGGGTGGTGGCCCGTTTCCTCCTGGATTTCATTAGGATGCAAACCTCCTGATATTTGGAATCTAGAGCAAAAGCCCACAGTACAGAGCCCCGGGTGTTCGTGTCTGGGACAGTGGGGCCCTGAGCCGGCAGCCCCAAGACAGGTCCTCTCCTCAAAGCAGGACTGCAGGCATGGGCGGGGTGACACAGGGGCCAGGTGACCAGAGACACCTGGCTGTCGATCAGGCTGGGGCCACCGGAGAATGGCGGACGTGTTGAGGATGGAGAGGTGGGCCACACCCACGACATACCTGATGCACGCCTGGGCACATGGGGCACACCTGAGATTCAAGCAGGGCACACCCAGGCACCTCTGACTCAAGCGAGGCTCACCTGGGACACACCAGAGACACACCTGAGACACCTGGCACACATGTGAGGCACACTTGAATACTACTAAGACACTTGGGGCACATTTAGGGCATACCTGTGACACCTGGCACATACCTGAGACACACCTGCGGTGATGTCACTTTGGGAAGAACCACAGGGCTGGTTCTAGCTCCCAGAGATGAAGCACAGGGTTGAAGAGGAGCCGAGCACCATGGTCCATGTAGGCTCCTGGCAAAGCCCAGGCAGGCGCCAATGAGTAAATATTGGCAGTGACCAGCAGACCTCTGTCCCCGGGAGACCTCACTCCTCCCACCTGCCAGCAGCAGCTGGTGACCTTGCACAGCCACGGCACCTCTGCCTGCCCTCAGGGTTGGGGACATCGGCTCTCTCCACGCCGGGGGACAGTGCTGTGGGGCAGAGTCGCCGTGCTTCCCAGTGTGCCCTGCGCCTTGGACCTTGCTGAAACTCAGGTTCCACCCAAGGCCTGCGGGGCACTGAGGGGGCTGCTGCTTAGGACCCTGGGGGATCCTGGCGGGACCCCCGTGAGAGATGTCCCTGCACCAGGCACCTTAGGGTCACTGGGCCAGAGGAGTCCTCTACCCAGGACTCACAGACACGACAGGCCAGGCATTTGGGCCTCCAAACTCTACATGAAATGTTTATTTTGTGGTAACTGCAGATCCACATGCAGTTGTGAGGAACAGCGGAGAGGACCCCGTGGTATCAGCTCCCCAAGTTTAGCTCAACATTGCAGCAGGTCTGAGGCCAACACCGACAGACACAGGGCCTCAGTCCTTCAGGACCCTCGTGCCACCCTGCGCACCACACCCTTCTCCCCCATGGAGACCGCAACCTGCCCCCGCCGCACTGGCCAGGGCTGGGGGCTGTGTGAGTGGACCCCACGCTGCACTGCCCTTGGGAGCAGCTTCTCCACTCCACCCACAGAGGAGCCGGCTGGTTCCCCTTCTCCTGGCTGAGCGGCGCGCTCTGCTGGTCACCACGGATCTCAGCCGCTCTCTCAGGACCTCCGGGCTCTCCGGTGTTTAGCTCTCAGGAACGAAGCTGAGTAATCATCCAAGCAGGTTTCTGTGTGAATACAAATTTCCACTTCTCTGGGACAAATTCCAGCCAGCTCACCTGGTATTTGCAAGGTTACCTTAAAAGAAACTGCAAGCTGTCCTCCAAGGGCCTGCACCCCATTTTGCATCCCCACCAGCCCAGCCGAAGTGCAGGAGAGACCTAGCTCGCCCACACCTCCCTGGCACGGGTGTCTGCCCCTGTCCTTACCTCAGCCCTGTGACAGGCACTGCGCCACCCCTGTGGCTTTAGATTTTCTTTCCCCAGACGACTCCTTACGTCTCCTGACTGTTCTACCCAGTGTTTGCTTTTGGCCGTTGACTTTGGAGAGTCCTGCACCCTGGGTCCTGGGTCTGTCACAGACATGGTTCCAAAGGTCCACTGGGTGGTGCGGGTCCCCTCAGCCCTCTCTGAGCTTCCCAGTCTGAGCCTCGGTGCCCACCCTGCCTGGCCACGTCTTCCTAAACGTTTTCCCCTGTTCCGGCTTGCACTGAAGTTCACGAGCCGCTCTGAGTTAATTTTTGTATAAAGGGTGAGACTTGTAGATTGACCGACTGGTTGGTTTGTTTTTAACAACGAATATTCAATTGCCTTAGCGCTGTCTGCTGAGAGGGCTGCTGCTGCTTCTCTGAACTTGTCCTTCACCAAGGTCTGAGACCCCTGGGGCACATTTGGGTCTGTTTCTGGGTTTTCTCTTCTGCCCCTCAGTCTCTATGTCTCCCTCTGGCCGTACCACAGCCTGCTGATCACTGCGGCTGTATCACAAGCTTTCAAATGGGGTAAACATGGTCCTCCTACTTTATTCTTGTTTTTCAAAAATATTTTTTATAAAAGTTCTTTTAAAAACCCTATATTCTGCTGGGCACAGTGGCACATGCCTATATTCCCAGCACTCTGGGAGGCTGAGACAGGAAGCTCACAAGTTGGAGCCAGCATGAGCAACGTACCAAGACCCTGCCTCAAATGTAAACTTTAACAAAGGGCTGGGGATATAGCTCAGTCCAAAGGCTGTGGACTCAATCCCTAGTACTATACACACACACACACAGCTAGAATCACAATAAGAAGAAAACATCTGTCTGGTTTCTTTGACGTCTCTATAAATCTTCTCCACCAAGGGAATTGTGTTAAGCGTTTGTGTTAAGCATGAGCCCAGCCTGCAAACCCTTTCCTGCCAGCTCTCCATGCAGGCTTCGGTCCACAAGCCACACACCTGTTGTGTTAGATGAATGCATAAGTGCTCCTTCTTGTTTGGGGCAACTACACGACACTGCATTCTAAATGCTGGTATCCACATGTCCATTGCCAGTGTGCAGAAGCACGGTAAGTTTTGGACATCTATCTGTGCCTGGTAACCTGGCTGCCCTCTCATTCCTGAAAGTCTTCCTGGGGTTGTCCACGTACGGCACCCTGTTCCCTGAAGTAAGCATGGCTCCACTTCTTCCTTTCTGGGCTGAACGCTGCCTTCTCACCGGAGAGGCTGATGCACCAGGGATCGGGGCGAGGAGAGCAGGCCCGGCCTGGCCCACCGGGGTGAGCACCTAGCCTCTTGCTGCCCAGAGGCACCAGGTTCCATGCAGGCTGAGCCACAGTGAGGAAGCTTCCCATCCCTCACTTGCTGAGAGTTTCCACAGTAAGTGATGCTGAGTGGGTCAAGGCTCTTTCTCCTCCAGTCGTGTGATTTTCCTTTATTCTGTTCATGTACGGCACTGGTTGATCTTAGTATTAGACGAGCTTTGCATCCCGTGTGGTCATGAACTGTGTTTCTCCCACACTTGGATTCCGTTACCAATTTTTAAAGGATTTTTATGCCTACATTCGTAAGAGATGTTGGTCTGTGTTTTTCTTTCTTGTGCTGATTTACCTGGTTTTGGTATTAGGGTAACACTGCCCTCATAGAATCGGTTGGGGAATGTTCCCTGGTCTTATACATTCCAAAAGATATGGTTTTTTAAACAGTGCTAATTCTTCCTTAAATATTCGGTAGAACTCTCCTGCAAAAACATCTGGGACTGGATGCTTTTTTGTAGGGAGATTTTGAAACTGTGAATTCAGTTTCCTTAACAGTATATGTCTGCTCAATGGTCTGTTTGAAGTGGGCACGCTGTGTTCTAGGGAAGTGATCCATTTCCTCTGAGATGTCTGGGTCCTGACGTCTGGCGCTATGGGCCGCTGATGACAACCTTGCCACACCCCTGGTTCAGCGACGAGAGTCCTCTCTCCCCAGTTTGCCAGCTGGCTGATCTTCTCCAGGGATTGACCTTTTGTTCAATGATTCTCTCCACTGCTTTTCTGTTTGCACATTCACTGGTTTCTCTTCTCATCTTCTGTTTCCTCTTTCTGCTTGCTTATTTTTGTTTGTTTCTGTTCTTTGTTTTTCAGGGCCTACAAGGTGGAAGCTTTGCCTCTTTTCTAACGCACACATTTAGTGCTGTAACATTTCCTCTTAATGCTGCCATAACTGCGCCCCACAGATCTCAGTAGGCTGCACTTGTGTCTTCTCTCTGTTCTACGTACATATTAAAGTTTCCCCCTAGACTTCCTCTTCGACTCAATTATCAGGAGTGCACTGTAGTTTTCTTTGTTTGCTTGTTTGTTTTGGTACCAGGGATAGAGCTCCAGACATTGTGCTTGCTAGGCAGGTAGCAGAACCACTGAGCTAAATCCCCGGCCCGCACTGTAGTTTTTACATGTTCGGAGGCTTTTCTGCTGCCTTCTGTTATTAATTTCTACTTTGATCCCACTGTGGTTGGAGGACTCTCGCTGTAGGATTTAAATGCTTTTAAATGAGCTGAGACTTGTCCCATGGTCCAGGACGTACCCTGGTGGTACCTGTTCCACACTCTTAAACGGCATCCCGTGTCGTGCTTCATGGACACCCTGCACAGGACACCCCACCGGCTGAGGGGGCTGAAGCTTCCATCTGTCCTGAGATCTGTTCAGCTGTCTTATCACCTGGTGTGACAGCCAACCTGACTCCATTTTGAGCCTCATCACCGTCCCCCTCCCTTTCGTGTAAAGTTGACTGATTCTGGGTGGTCGCCTCCCCCTCCTCCCTTGGGAGTTTCCTCGGTTGATGCCACTGTGTCCCATTTGGTAGAGCAGTCTGCAATTATATGTTGCCCTTGTGACCTTCCCATTTGGTAGAGCAGTCTGCAAATCTATGTTA